ATCTGTAGGACAAATTAAATCCTATAACGTTTCAACCAGTATATTCGATATACCCACTGAAATGACTGCCAATAAGTACTACAATTCCTATGAGATTTCAGAATTATCACCCCACCATCTGTGAGTTTATGATGAAGATTCGGACCTTGCTGTCGATTATGCCATACGTAAGATATTATGTATCATGTCTACTGACGACTTAATCCCTTCAAATTTTCATTCTGTGAGCTAGTTTCGGTTGTCAGATTTTCCTTATCCTAATCCTGTGTTATTATTTATTATGATTGAGTGTTTCCTTTAGTAAATGCCTGACGTGGGTTCACTTCTTCTAGCTATTGCTCTTCCAAGATTTTCTAACACGTTTTACATACTGGACACTTCATTAAACCCACAACACAGGGACATGTCCATGTGACTCCCCAAAAGTCGAATTCTGGGGCCATGGTAAGGTAACAAACATTCTTTCAGCCTCAACGTATTGTTTCTGTCTTTTTGGTGTGTGCTTCGGTATTATTATTAGTGGCTTTATTCAATAGTATATTTTGGTTAAGTCTGCAAATCGTCACTTGTGAACGACGATACGATGCACGTAACCAAGTCTAGATAGACAACGACCTGCTCTCCCGTCATCCCTGTATGTTGTGTTGCCCGACAGCACGTACTCTCGTGTGGTTAATACCATATTTGTGGATTACTGGTTTCTCATGAGTTGGAATGGCCTCCTTTGAGATGATCTATCATGCATATTAGGGACCTATTTAGTATATTTGAGGAAGTTCTACATATACAGTCTTCTCTAGCACTTCTTCCTCTATTGAGTTCGCGTTTTCTAACGACTGTTTCGTCGATTTCTACTATTCTCCTGATTCTTCCAAACAACTGATGCAAGCTTGTCATTTTCATCACACATATCTTGATAGTATTCATACCATTCAAATGCCGAGGCCTCAGTTACACCTGCAAAGATTGCAGCCAGTGTTACTAGTGTTTTATTATAAAGTTTGCAATGATTATCATAATCTGTCTTGATATCAATCGCGATCGAGCAAATAGACGTCCCCATTGCAACAGACGTTTTCCTCCAACATATATCACATCGAGAAACAACATTGTCACGATAGTCCACACAATGTCAGGTAGTCATTTGATATATATATATATACCTCATGCTTCTGAAAAGGGTGACAAGAAGGAACAGTTTCGCTCAAGGTCAGGATATTTTGAGAGATCAGTACCAATTAGAAACCGTGCATCTGTGTGACGGAAATCCTTTGAGCCCCCTTGATTTATTGACCTGATTTTTATGAAAAGTTGATTAAATATAGCCTAAAAGTATGTGAGTGAATTGATTTGTGCATTATGGTGCCTCGCCTAAATCAGAGAATCAGGGAAGTGGAGTACAAGCTAGCTTGTAAGTAAGTCATCACTCAGCATACTGAAAGGCAAAACTCTTAGTGTTTCTGCATCAACAGTTCATTTACATATTTTTGGATGCAATGTGATAAGGCTTCAACAAGTGATCTACATACAAGGTAATAAATGTTATACAATAACCTGTCAGTCAGTTAATTAAGTCCTATTCATTAAAATGTAGCATTTTTAAACTGAAGAGAAACATAACGCAGTTATATGGTTCGAAAGTATGAAATATTAAACTTGTTGTAACCGACTATATGGATATAAGATTCACTCAAATAAATCTGATCTTCAGAGTCAATAAGTGAATGTTCATATGCTCCTGTTACATTCAACACACCAGTCCGCCTCAATACGTGAATAATTTAAACAGATTAGCCAGCTTATACAACTCTGAATCTAAATGAACCCACTAGACTACAGTACATAGTGACTCCTTCCTATTTCTGTGTTTTTTATCGTAATTTTTCGGCCTTCATTTCCATAGACCTTTTTTGTGTATGTTTCCGACGTTTCCCTTAACAAATGCATATCAATGGTTGTTTGTGTCCGCTGATGCAAGCAAAGTAATAGAATTGGATAAAATTCGACTTTACGCCAGTCAATCTATAGCAGCTCACATGCTATTGAGTTTGTTCACATTTAATCTGGTTAAACCCTTTTTTTAACTTATTCAACGGATAGAGTCATCAGTACAATGAAAAATTATCTACATTATTGTACCTTTATTATTTTTAAACTTGTATGAATACGTATTCTTGAGCATTGCTTACCGCCTACGCATATATTCATTCTGCTAGCTTTATTATTAGCTACCTAATTGATTCGATGATCCATTCATTTCACTATGTATATATATGTATATTTTAATCATGTTGATTGTCTCGTTGACTTGTGAACTCGCTCACATACTCGCTCATTCGACTCGTACGCACTACTCTTTCATGCTTGCTTAGCGTACTTGTAAATTAGGATATCTGTATGTGGTGCAATAATAAACGTAATAAACACTTCGTATTCGCCTTCTGATTAATACACCGTTGGTGCGTTGTCTAGTGACGGTTATCAAGACGAACTGTATACGAAGTTTAAGGATTATATTGAATAACGACCACCACAAATCCAACAATTCTCCAGCCTGGTCCACCGTAATCTGGTGTCCAGGTTATCCTGCTTAAGTTTTAACAAAACAACATGTGAAGTCAGACAAGCAGGACGAAGAATAACACGAGCACAACACAGCCAGCATGTTTGATGTGTCAACCCTACTCAATCCACCAAGAAATCCATGTTGGCTATAATTGACCTCGAGATTGTACTAACAAATCTCTGTTCGATTATTAGTCTTCGGTGTCTGAGCAATGTTGAGAATGAAAAATACTACTTTGTTAGTGTTCGGTATTATTTTACTGCCCATAAAGTAATATATCATGTCGCTTAATTGCTAGTCTGTGTTCGTGTGTACGTTGATAAATAGGGTTTCCACATGAACATAGGCTGGGAATAAAACGGAATGGTTAGTCACCACCCACGTCAATCTACCAAGGCAACAAAGGACGTTAATTTGACGGGAAGCGCATAAAACTTCATTAAAGTCAAAATGTGATAAGTGCCGCGATATCGGTTTATCACAAGGAAGTTACTTTACTCTGAGATTTAAAGAAGCTGATAAGTAATGAAAAATTGTGTCGCCACACCACTAAGTAAAATGACAGAGAAATGTTATATACATGGTATGGTGAGTTCCGAAAGACCTGATTGTCTTCACCATAGTAATCTGTATATTATTCGTCTACAGATTTTACTATACAATCGGCTATTCAATGTCATTTCGGTCATTAAACTTGATAAACCCATACTTCAATAACTCTGTTTTGGTTCGGATTAATTTCTTTGGGTTACATATTTGACTTTGTGGTTGAGAAAGTACAAATATTTTTATCTATTTTGACCCGATGAATTGTAGATAAATTATGATGGTTGTATATACATGATTAACCTCTTTCATTCAGCTGACTGAAAAGAATAATTTAACATGGTATTTGAGAAGTCCATTAGTATCTCCAAGTTTTATGCAAATCTACCTTTCTCGATTCTTTATAGGTTAAGTGCACACCTACATGTTTATTTGATATGCAGGTGTCTTTTCTCATATCAAATGTTGTAGGTACTTTAATTAACACTTTTTATGGTTGCTTTCACTACCTATAATGCAAATGTGATGGAAGAGTCAGGCATCAAATGAAGGGCTCTATATTTGATTCTCAGGTTTCAAATTGAAACTCGACCTCATCTATTTCACTTTAGAAAACCAGATAATTTCATCAGTCTTTACTCACAAAAAGTATGGCTGATAGTCGAACACGCAAACCAGGCTTTCAGTAAGTAAGAAGAACAATTAATCAATCATATTGAGATGAACAATTAAACGCTGTTTTGTGGTTCATAGTTAGATGAAACATCTCAGTCTCATTTTGGCTCATCTAGAGAAGAATAAATTTAAAGGCTGAATTAAAATGTTACTGAGGTGAAAATGATGATGAAAACTTTGAAATATTTTCTGTTATATAGTAGCTTCATGCCAAAAAGATACACATGTAAACTTGATGGGATTATAGCAATTTTAGGTATGTACCAGACTGGGTCGAAAAACTATACTTTATTACAAGTGATTTATGTTACATTTCTATGATTATTGAGATTACTCACATAACTTTGTTGTTTCTAAGCCTCGTTCATCTATTCATAAAAATATACTTAGTTATAACTATTGTGCTGCAACATTACTAATTATATCATCTCACGAAGAGTTTTTTATGGGAAGTATATTAACTCATAGTGTTGATAAAGGGTTCCCAAAATATGCGCTTCGATATATACGTCATTGTAGTTCTCTTCATCCATCATTAGACTGTCAATAAACTTATGTAATTTAGTGACTGGGACAGATACTATTTAATCCACATGTTTAATGTTTCCGGTTTATTATATAACTTAGTGAATGAGTAGATTTCGTTGACTTCAGTTCCGAATATCTAATTGATACTAAGTAATAAAATATAATGAACCTAGTATTGTCAAGACGACCCATTGAACTAGTCACATTCTACAACTTCATTCTCATATCATGAGTTTTATAACAATTACACAGATAAGACAGTATAAATAACTCTTTATCTTTCATATCAAACATTATTGCGGTTAGTCCCAACGAGAGTATACTAGAAATAAATTTAGTTATCAGAAATTCATTCAATAGAATATAGATAATTGGTACTATATACATTTAAAGAGTGATTGAGATTTTTATGGTTAAGCAAAGTTTTCGATTTACAATAGAGACAATGACGGATATCGTATGTTTGTATTGATGTCTAATTTGTATGTATGCATGTATAAATCAGAGTGGTAACTGTAAGATCAATGAAAATACAGAAGACAACTGAAAAAGAATATGATAGATTGCACGATTTTGCCTAGTTATACTCCATTTCCGTGGCTTACTTACTAAAAGCCATATATAATTGTTAAACTATTTGACACCTGGCTACTGGTAGGTGAGAGAAATAAGTTTCCCATTAGTTTCATTTTATGTTGTCATATTGTTTAATTGGAAGCGTATTTCTAGTTGGTCCGGGGCAATGTCTATGATATAAGTGTAAATCATCCATTACACCATAACGACAAGGTGGTAAGATGTAAGAACCATTCAGTGGTAATGGAATTCTGTAAAACAAAGAAAATAGTGAATATCACAGCACATGAACAGCATAAACTTGATGTATTTTTTCTAGAAAGTTATGTAACTATGTTTCTGTTTAAAGAAATTAGACACCTTTATTATCATTATTGTTATTATTTTACAGGCTCCATATTAAAATTGTAAGTAGCATCACAAGACTATCGTCAAACCAAGTCATATTCTAAGGTGACCTTGTTTGCTATTCAATGGTTAAACATCATTGACAAAAACACCCACATCATCCGATTCTTTGTCAAGTTCTACAGAGTTTAATCAGTTTGTTTAGCATTTATGGAAGCATACATATGCTCAAATATATATAATTCATAACTAATCGTCAATTTGTACATAAAATGTTGAAGAAATGCTACTACTTCCTAAACCGGACAGTTAGCTATATGATTTCTACCAATACATTAAATAAATCCAAAATTGTAGTCAATATCACGTTTGTCAGATCTATAGCTCTGATTAAATTTTACAGACCAATCTGTAATTTTATCACCAGTTTGGGAGTGTTCTTTGTTTTAATTAAAGATGATCAGAGGAAATTGGTACGATGAGATCGGTCTAGTTTTCATGATAATTGATTCTCACAAACAAGGAATATCTACAGTCTTAAAGAAATTGATTTACAACCATTACCACTAAGCTATTCGAGCCACATCCCATCTTTAAATACATGACATAATAGGCTATAGAACAATAATAAGGAGAGTTCACTTTAATTGATAAGTTCAAACTTATTGATGACTAAAAAGAATTTACTGCAAAAGAATACTTACTCTTCAGCCGTGAATTGACGTTTCCCTTCCAACAATTCAAAACATCGTTTATCATTCGGTTGACATACACATGCACAATCTGAAAATGTGTGCATAATAAATTTCAGTGGAGCAATACATAGTCGATTACTGCAGCTATATTTTTTTATTATAATCCAATTGTAGGGCATATGAGAAAAATTAAAAAAATATTTGGAAGTTAATGAAGTTGATAAAGTAGATGTACTGTCCATTATATCATATAAAAAATAGACTGTCAATAGAATGTTTAGCTTGATCTTAATATTGAACTAATAATCTTTCATCAAATCTCTGAATGGTTAATATTTTCTGATTGTAATAGAAGAAATAATCTGGCACCGAAGCGCTTATTGATAAGAGTTCCATTTGGTTCACAAATTCATGTATCCATGGAGCAAGGTTTTCTAAACTCTTAGTCTGCTTTTTAAATCAAAGACTGTTAGCTTGGAAAAGTAATATGAATAACTGTTATCTTCCCACTCATTTGCTATACCTAATAGGCATGTTTAAACGCCAAATAACTAAAAACATAGATGAAACCATCATTATTGTTTTCATAATAACCTAACAGAAATAGAGATTCTGCATTTATTAGTTTTACACATCTCTTTTAACATACAGTTGTATTACGAAGTTACACATATCAAGATTTAATATAAACAAAATATGATTTTGTTAGTAAACATCAATTAATCTTTTTAATAACATGATAAACTATGCAACTGAATATTAGTAAATAAAATCAAAGTTGGATATAAACTGATTCCAAAATGAGGATGCCTTCCTCTTTTCAAATTTGTTATATTTCTATGGTATTTGTACGAATTAATGATTCTTTCGTAGTGGAATGTCTGTTGATTACGAATTCTAAGTACAATACATTCATTTGTGTACGTCTAGTTCTACATACAGTAAATGACACTATTTGAGGAATTCCTAGTTGGTACAATAATTTGAATAATTTTAATCATTATAATTTCCTTTTATTTCAGTCTGCTCAGTTTATCTGACAAACAGGATCATAATTTAAGTTCATTAGTACTGTTTTATTCTAAGCATAGTTCTAAACAGTTGATCTTAACCTTAAAAGTAATATTAACACATAATCGAAAATTTGTTTGTCGATATCAATAAACACTTTGAAATGATAGATGTATTATGTAATTGTGATGATTATAAGCATTTGAATTATAGTACAAATTAAGAATCCCAGAAATAATGCAATTTAACCAAGAAGTATTAGATGGGCACGAACGAACGTATTGTATTCGGAATTCGGAATCAAGCGGTCAACACGCACAAAGGAATAATTAGTTCATACGAACACAACAGTAATTCAAAAATGAATTCATTTGATGTTGTTAGATTATCCGAATTAAAAGATTTAATTATGAAGTTACTATTTGCCATTCTGTACGTTATCATTGATGTTTACTTCTAGTTGACGAACAATAAAACTTTCACAATAACATCGAATGAACAAAAAATATTCTATGAATTCTCCACAACTGCTTACAACCAAAAACCCATCGTATCGATCATTAAAAATAAACAAGTATAAATACTTTATATTGGAGACGTCTAGAACAAATTGAGTCAATTATTTGGAAATAGAATAATATTCAGGAATAATAATACACAGGAATTTACATTGTTGTCCACATGTTGACTCAATTTATTCTAAATGTTTCCGATATAAAGGATGCACATTTGTTTATTTTTCATGATCAATACGATGGTTTTTAAGTTGTAAGTAGCCGTGGAGAATCCAGAGGATAATTTGATTCATATTATTGTGTTACAATATTTGTTCCTTCTTCTTATTCAAGTTTATAGATGAAAAAAGTTTGTATCAAATAAACAGTAGATTCAGTAAATAATTAAAAGTATTTCAAGGCTATCTTGAACATGGACAACACTTCAACACAACATTATATTTATCAGTATTTTGTTATATAGTGGAATTATAGTTAAAATAGGCCCTGGGTTCGAATCCCGTGAGACGGAATCGTGGATGCGCACTGTTGAGGTGTCCCACAATATGACGAACTGGCCGTGCAGTGCTTCCAGGTTTTCCATGGTGGTCTAACTTCAATTGACTCATGATCTTAGCTATTAAATTGAAATATAATAATGAAAAATAACACATATCATTGGTTTACGTATTCTTTTACATCTTAACTGATGAATATGAAGTAGTGAACATATTTTTCTTTCACTAAATAAGTCAGTTGTAATTGTTGATTAGTAAAGGGAAAGTTTAGTTTGTAAATTCTAATAATTGTACACTTGTGACTTGTCATAAAACGAATCCTGGAGATTTATATGGAAATCTACCTCTAAATGAATCAAATATAATTAGATCTAGTGATTAGTACAATTCGTTATCCTTTCTCTTCAATAATTATTATCTTTTAATAATATTAATGAACAGTGGTTTCCACTCATGATTTACAAAAATTAGGCATCATGAATTACTATAATTAAAGTAAGTATTACTTATACACAGTGTGAATTAATAATTTTATCTAAGCTGCTTGTATAGATGATACAAACGAACCCTTTAATAATTTTGGTTTAATTTTTTTAATGAATAGGATCATCTTGAAATTGAGATAGATTGTATAGTTGTATCAATATAAGTAACCGTAGAGTAAGCATCTTAAGTTTTTTGATCTCATATATACAACAGAAGTTGCGATTTTTCGTTTTCCACTAAATATGTGACAAGCCCAACAGTATTTGAATAGACGGTATTGTGGAGATAGGCCTGACAAGTTTATTTTTTAAATAGTTTTTAATATTATTTGTATTTATTTTGTCAATTTCTCACTGCATGTACATTTATCACTAAATGATTGTACCTGTTGGTTTAGTAAGTGACCTTGAACACTTTTTCCGTTGTGATACTAACATAGAGCGACATACCGTTGCTGGCTAACAAATACACTGCTTCTCACACATTCCTCGTTCTATTTTCGTTCGTGATTGAGTTAACTGAGATCTAAAACAAATATTATTTACATTCATAGACTGTGATACACCATACCTTACTTTGGATTACACCACTGGAGAGTTCATCGACACGTTTGGAATTATCAAGCATCTATAATTGCGGATTTATTGTACCAGATTAAAGCTGAACGCACATCATTTTGGGTGAACTTAAGTAAAGTCCCGTTTTTATTGTATTTGTAACATTTAACTGGTATATATTAATATTACTATTGATTCTTATTAACTTTGTTGATACTTTTTGCGTTTATATATCGTCTGGTCCACCACAGTATTAATCTATGTAAAAAGAAGATGTAATTTCGAATTTGAAAACATGAACATTTATTTCCTGTAAAATTAGTTAAGCGAATAGATAGTAAAGAATTGAATACAATGATTCGAAAGTTCAGTAAAACCTAGAAAGTCAGACTGTGGTGTATGCTACTTATCCTGACAGGTATTAGTAGTATGTAGCGGCAATCGAAAGTAAAATACCTACCATCAGAAGATTGAACTGAAGAGAATAGGAAGGAGAATGGAAAGCAGTCATAATAGGAACAGGATTAGAGGAATAATGGAGTATGTAAAGCAAAACGCAATAAGCTGTGCAAATTATGTATTCTTAATGTGCGATTTTCATATTTTACAAAGACACTGTGTTATTTTACAGTGAATAGTTTTTAAAAAATGGATTTTCTATAATATTCTAATTATAGTATGAACTAGGAATTCCAGGATTAACGCAATTGAACTAAGAAGACACAGGCACAAACGAATGTATTGTATTTAGAATTCGAAATCAAGTATTCAACCAGTACAAAGGTATCATTGGTTCATTCAAACACCACATCCGCCACAGCTTAAATAGAAGTACAAGTGTTTGTAATCGGTTGTACGTCTTCTTGTTAAGTTCATCCTGAGTCTGTCCTACATTGTATAAGACAAAAACTTTGTAGTATCTAGAAAGTGCTCATTAGTATTGGAATTAACAAACGAAATCGGAACAGACTCACCTGGAATTGTATACAACCAGCATGTCGGTTTTGTAATTAAATCATTAATATCTAGAATTCGAACCATAGATTTTTCAACACTATCCCCCCCCCACGAAATAATGTTGGATCTTTATATCCCCAAGTTATGAATAATGTGGCTTCATTTAAAACATATTTCTCACATTGTTTAGAGTAAACATTAGAACTGTGTTTGTGATAAGGGTAAACAGCAGTTGATATGAAATCATCCGAAATGTAATCAAACTCGAGGTCACTTAGTACTCGTGCTTCGCATTGAGCAGGTTTTTCACAAGGATCAAATGCATTATGAGGATAGGTAATATATGATATGACATCAGGATTTGATTCTTCTGAAATATTCTCATGAAATTCATTAGAACTGTCATTGAAGAGCGTAGGATCGTTAGAAAAATCAGCATCTAACCAAACCACATCAGGTTTTCGATCATGATTAGGTACATTTAACATATTTTCCTCAATATTGCAAGTAATTTCATTAGAAATATGTGAATCATTAGGAAAAGTCATACCTGGTACAATAGAATGAGAATTCCGATAAATCGGTTGATTAGGAACTGTTGTCTTACAAGAATTCTGGATTTCATTTAACTCTGAACTGTCATATGACTCTGCACTGTCTTTTGAAATCGTTGATAAAGATAAATGATCATTAGAAACATCCGAATTATTTAAATTTAAATTACAAGATTTAGTACAGCTCGAAGCAAAATGGACAGTAGCTTTGCATACTGACTGAATGTGTCCTACCTTACCACATTTAAAACATTTAGCATTACGAAATACACATGAACTGCGAGCATGAAACTTTCCACATGATAAACATTTACCAAACTTCATCTCACCTTTGTGATTTGCTTTGTAATCCCTCGTTGAAACTGCTTTCACATTTACAAGAGAATAGGGATCACTATTAAACGAACCCAAGTTTGATTGACCCTGAGATTGTAGTTCATCATGACGACTAAGCAAAGTATTAGAAATATTCATCGACTGGATATCAAGTTCATTCACTGCCTCGTAGTTAATACACGCAGTCCTAG